TTTATACAGACACAAACTCAATTTCATGCTCATTTTTGTGTTCTATTTCCATATCTTATTACTATTCTGCATTTTCTATATAGTTTTCCCCTCTTTTAATTTTCTCAATTTTATTTTGATTATCTCATGTCAATTCAGATCTTTATATTTATACTTTTGTCTGTTCTGTTTCAATTTCATGTTATCTTTTCTCATTAAACAAATTTTCTCCTGTAGTTACTAATTGGAGTATGACACCTTTATATCTTTTAATTTTATCCATACAACTCTTATTTAAACTTCAATATATACCTTAAGGTTATTTCTTCTTCTTCCTTCCTTCCTCTTCCTCTTCCTCTCCTCCTCCTCCCCCTCCCCCTCCTCCTCCTCCTCCTCCTCCTTTTTTTTGAAAGAATTTCAAAAGTAGATTGCTATTCATTGACCTGTATAAAGTGAAACTCAAGCAGATAACTATATTTTCTGCATTCAAATCCTGGTTTAATGCTTGTTAGGCACAATTAGCAACAGCTTCTGTGCTTAGATGCTATGGAAGAACTTCAAAGGAAGGAAATTGACACCAATTAATGCAGAAATAGTGGGAAAAAGGGGACTCATCAGCAGTCTCAGTCCAATACCAGAATAACAAGAGTTGGAAGGGACCTTGGAGGTCTTCTAGTCCAACCCCTACTCAAGCAGAAAACCCTACAGCATTTAAGAGAAATGGTCGTCCAATCTCTTCTTAAAAACCTCCAGTGTTGGAACACAGACAATTTCTGGAGGAAACTCGTTTCACTGATTAATTATTTTACTATCAGGAAATTTCTAGGTTCGAATTCAAGAAACTATGGCAGTATTTCTCAACCTTGGGAACTTGAAGATGTGGCTGCCTGGCAAATTCTAGGAATTGAAGTCCATATATCCTCAAGTTGTCAAGGTTGAGAAACACTGAACTCTTGGGCAAGTTGAAATTGGAGGTTTAAAGAACAAAAAACAAATTAGACAACCATTTGACCAGGATGGTATAAGTCTCCTGCCTTGATCTGATCTTTAAGAGAGCATTAGAAACACAGGAATATCTGAGATATACCTTTCTCATCCATGGAAAATAGAATAAATGACGACAGTTTTGGATAAAAGGACTATACACAATATCCTTGAACTGGATTTAGGTCCAAAGAAAAAGACTGTAGAATGTTGCCAAAGATTAATAGTGGGGTATTTTCTTCATCTATCGAGTTATCCAGTGTACTTGCTGATAAAGACTGAAGATCATGGATGAAAACACCATGCAACCCAAAATCATAAGGTGGTCTTCTAGTCCCCCTGATCAAGGCAGGAGATCTTATACCAGTGATGGCTAACCTTTCCGTCCTCACGTGCCAAAAATGTGTACACATGCCAGCACCCATAAGGCGATGCACGCAGGGCCCACCACGCCCCCTGCGCATGCATGCACGATCCCTTGGGCGTACGCTGTGCATCTCTGCACATGCACGTGTGACCTCCCCATGAGTGCCACGCGTTTCTGCACATGCACGCCCATCTCCTGCGTGCCCTCTGCCCCTGCGTGGCAACTACCCAACGATCAGCTGGTGGGCGGGTGGCACACGCACCTGTGCAGTGGACCTGCTTTGGGGTGACAGCTTGCATGCTGGCAGAGATGGATCTGCATGCCACTTTTGGCAGACTCACCATAGGTTCACCATCACGGCCTTATACCATCATGGTCAAATGGTTGTCTAGTTTGTTTTTTAAAATCTCCAGTGATGGAGCACCCACAATTTGTTGTGGTTAGCCGGCAGCAGGTGCAGATGGCTGAGGAGAGCAAGGACTCAGATGAGGGGCCAAGACCATTAGAGAGTGGACTGCTGCCTTCAGAGATTGTGGGGGCTGGCAGCAGTGAGAAGGAGGTTCCTGAGGAGCCTGTGCCAAGTGCATGTGCAAGCAGGATTGCTCGTAGGAAAGAGCAGCTACAACAGCATGGGTGACTCGGGGGTAAGGCTGCAAGGTAATGGCCTCTCCTTCAAGAAGATAAAAGCCAGCTGTGAAATGAATGTTCTTTGCAGAAGGCAAAGACATTTTGAAACTCCAGCCTTGTGGACATTCTAGTATCCTGAGTTTGTATTTGAAGATTCTTGTATTGCAAATTATTTCTTCCCTGTTATCTTTTGGAAAGTCTCGCACAGTTTGGCAAGGCTTGTGCTTATCACAGTTAGTTATTTTGTAAAAGCATTACAAGGTTTCTGTTCCTTTTGGATTGTGTTTGATTTGTTGGAAAGGGGCTTGGGTCAGAACACAATTCTGGGTGGCAAACTATTCCATTGATTATTTGTTCCCTCTGTCAGAAAATGTTTTCTTATTTCTACCGGTAGGTTGGATCTCTCTTTCATAAGCTGTCACTTATTACCTCTTGTCCTATCCTCAGGTGCTTTGGAGAATAAGTCGATTCCCTTTTCTCTGTGTCCTCATAAAGTAGTCATAAGGTGTTACTGTCTTGTCTACAGCGCTTTCGGAAAAGCCTTCCCCCTGGTCTTCTACGGCGAGTGTCATCCACTTGGACAACAACCACATCTGCCACTGGTTTACCCACGTTGGAGCCAGCTTCTGTTAGAAGGGACCGCAGTCCCAGCATCAAACTTTATGATACGTCATCATCCAGGTAGGAAAACAATTGCAGATTTTTAAATTTAAGATCTTTAAAGTTGCAAAGGTTGAGAGATACTGACAAAAGGGAATAAAGTAAAAATAGACTTCAGATACGAATGTAAGTCTTAACTACTTGGTATATTTGATATAAAAAGATAATTCAAGTTAAAAAAACAACAACAAATATAAACTCTAAAACGTTAGTGAATAGTCAACAAATCTAAAATACCACATGATTAATGCACTCCAGTAGAAGCCCATAATGCTATAAACTGCTCAGAGTTACCTTGAATTGTTAGATGAGCAGCAAATAAATTGACAAATTCAGTATCAGTCAATTGCAGAAGGCAGCTTTACTCAAAACAGCTTACATCCTGGAGGTCCTTGTTTAATGCAATTTAAGTCATTAATAGCAAAAAGAGAACCTCTAGGTGATAAAACACACTACTGTAAATTATTTCTTGGTTCCATGTTATTACCTTGACCTACCACAGTGAAATAGATCAGGGGGTTCACAGAATTGTAGACAAAGAGTGGAATCTGAAATTATCAGGGAATTTATGTGGGTCAAAAAATGGTTGCTCAGAGGTTTTCCAATTTTGACAACTCCTAGATTTATGTATCAACTTTTGGAATTTTTCAATTAGCATAGCTACTGCTGAGAATTCTGGGAGTTGAAGTCCATACAGCTGTAAGATACCTAAACTGGAAGGCACTCGTTTGCACCTTGAATTTTCCTGCTAGGAAAATGAATAAGTCTGGAATGTTCTGTACATAGCCAAGGGCAATAAACTCACTGTGAGACTTTTTAGGTGGAATCATCCAAAGCAAAGAATCTCTTCTCCATTCTTTTTGGCAACGAAGATATTTTCCCCTACCTTTCCCTGGTACGTATTGCATTTGAAGATTGTTTCAATAAAGGAAACTGTGGGGCTCCTTATTGACAGGAAATTGTACTCACCCAATATATCAGAAATTAGACTATGTGAGGAATATGAAACCTGAAGAGATCCATTTCCTACCTTCTGAAGCTCTTTGGTTAACAAATACAAAATTGTAGTCTTCCCTCTGCATCACAGTTAGAGTCAGGTATTCTTACCTTTTCCATTCAGCCGAGTGTCAACCCACCAGCTAGAAAATCAACTGCACTTTTATTTTTATTTTTAAAGATTTTATTAATTTTCAATAAACAAACATACACAAACAAAACATGAAAACATAAAACTTCTTTTTGGAAAGCGGCTTAGTCCCGGGTTACATCTTTTTGTACAGACATAAATTCGAATTCATGCTCACTTTATATACCATTTCATATCTTATTTACCATTCTACATTTTCTATATAGCTTCTCCCCTCTTTTCACTCTCTTAATTCTGTTTTATTTATTTCATCTCAGTTTAAATCATCATGCTTATATCTTTTGTCTGTTCTGTTTCAATTATCTATTATTTTTTCTCATTAACACAAAATTTCTCCTGTAATCACTGATTGAAGTATGGCACCTTTATATCTTTCCCCTAAGTTTAACACTTAAAATAATATATAATTTTCATTTTGATTCTGCTTAGTACATTCTAAGGCTACGTACTATATTTTAAAGTAAGGAAGGAAATAAGTTTATTATATAATTAAAACAATAATCCATAGCAAATTAAACTCCATCGTTAGGTCTTACACATTCCTTTTAATATTTTATCCCATTTTATAATCATATAATGTTCCAGTTTTCTAACATTATTTCAAATATAAATACAACAATACAATCTTATGTACTTTTGCAGAATCTCTTTTTTAACTATATTTTTACCCATTATCTCTGAATAAATCCTGTTTCTTTACATCTTGTTTCAAACCTTTGTAACTTCTCTTCCCTTTTTCTCTTCTTTTCTTCTCCAATCTAACCTTTTTACCCCCTTGTCTCTTGATCTCCACCCTCTTAATCTCCACCCTCTTCTGTATTCCTCTTTTCTGTTGCTTTCTAACATTGTATCGATTTTTCACCTTATTTTTCCTTTTTTTGGTTGTTTTTTTAAGTCTTAAATTCTCCATTCTCTTTCCCTTCTTTCCCTTTTCTTCCCCAGCTAAAGTTGCTTGTTCATTAAAGATGGCTTCTTCTTCATCCCAATTTTCTTGTTCTCGTAGTTTCTGATAGGTAGAAATCGCCATTTCTAGGAAATGGAAAACAGATCCAAAAGAGCCTTTCCCTTCTTGTTCCTCTTCTTTTAGCTTTTTAAATTCCATTTTCAGTTCATCAACAATAATGCCATTGTGAAAAAAAATTAAAAACAACCCAAATGTTTTTAGTCTTTCAAATAATAATTTCCAAAAGTCCCAAAGTCACCGGGCAATCCAAATACACACAGACTGTTTCATTTAGCACTTTCTTCTTTTTTATACTTTCTCTTCCTGGGGTTACAGTTCAATTGCAAAATTCCAATTAAAATGTATCTTTTAGAAGTCTTGTTACAATTTTGCTCTAGTCTTATAAATTCCAAGCAGCCTCCTCCAGCAAAATCTTAATATTAATTATTTTCCTCTCCCTTCCCACTTATAGCAAAGAAAGTTTTTTTTCTTTTCCAATGTTCAGAAATCTTTATTGTCCCCCTTGGCTTTAATTTTCAAATTTAATTACCTGCTGATGCCAAAATGGTTTTTTCTGATTTCTTGCTCATCTGCTATCACCATAAGGAAGGGGAGTGAGAAAAAACAAACTTTCCCGTTTTATTTTCAATCGCCACTTTTTCCAGGTCTTTGGGAGCGATGTATCTTTAATGAAATTTAAGTTCAAGGGTATTTAAATGCTTCTTGTTATCTCAGTCAGCCAAAAACTTTCACTTCTCAGCTTCCTCCTGCACATTCTTATCCAGATGAAAGCTTCTTTGTGGCGGCCATTGCTGACTGCTGCTCCACCGCCTTCAGAAAAGGGAGTTTAGCCAGCTGAGGAGGGGGGTTGCGATCCTCCCCGGACCCCTGCTGGATCTCCCCTGTCTTCAGGTACCTCTACGGGGTAACTATAACCCCCAAATCTGACTGGATCGAGGGCACTCCAGCGGCGAGTGCAGCAGAAACTGTGCATGATCGCGGATTCCTGCCACCTCTGAAGCCTTACAAACTGGAAGTCCATCAACTGCACTTTTACTGAGACTTGAAAGAATCTTGAAAGTCAATGCGGGACTTTCTCTTTCTTCTGATACTTCAACAAATTGGGGTAGCATGTACCTGAGCCAATTTTCCATGTCATCTTGTTCATCAGAATTTAAAAAAAAAGTTTCTTCCCCCTTTTCCTAGATCCGGGTTGAGGAAACTATGGCCCTTAATGATTTGTGGACTTCAACTCCCAGAATTCCTGAGCCAGCATGGGATTCTGGGATTTGAAGTCCACAAATCATAAAAGGGTCATAGTTCCCCATCCCTGGCCTAGAGAATGACTCAAAGTCATTTTCCTTACTCTCTTATACAAGTAACTCCTGGGAATCTCTGCTCTTTCCTGTCAATCTACTACCTCTACTAAGGCAGTAAAGTTCAGTTTTCTGACGGCTTACATTCCGGTCTTGGTGAACCTAAGGTTCATTATTGTTTGCGAACCAGTTTATAGTTGGAGGAGCTACCAACAAGAAGGTTGTGTTGAAAGGTACAGTTGTGTGATAACATTGTTCATGTATAGTACTGCAATTATCAAGTTGTACTGAAGGCTTTGAACAAATGCACTCCATCTCTGATGCTTTATGGGAGTTAATTCTTTGAATGTTCTGCTGAGTAAGTAGAGAACAGTTGTCCATGCTTAGAAGGATGTTCATGTAAATAAATTATTCTTGCACATGATTTAATTTGTCTAATTGAATTGTAGATATAATCTCCCCCCCTCCCTCTCCACTAACATCCAACTTTGCCTATCTCAGATTGAAATGATGGCAAAATCACCTTTGTATGCAATTTGTGAACTCCCTGTAAATAATTGATTGACTCTACATGAGGTCTACAAGTTCCTAGAGATCAGTCTGACCTCTGTTCTTTCTAAGGAAGCATACAAAATAAGGATTGGGCTGCTTTTTTTTTATTTTCACAGCTCTGACTCATGGAACAATCCTCTCCTGATGACTCTCACCAAAAGCCGATCTTTCTCAACCTCCTACGCACTGTCTGCTGCCAACCATCTGAATTCAAAGCGGCCAAGCCGGCAAGGTGGTAATTGATTTCATTTTACATATAACTCAAGGCAGAGAACATCTCCAACACCTCTTCCTCCTCCTATTTTCCCCACAACAACAACCCTGTGAGGTGGGTTGGGCTGAGAGAGAGAGAGAGAGAGGGAGACTGGCCCAAAGTCACCCAGCTGGCTGGCTTTCTAGCCTGGTGCCTTAACCAGTACACCAACCTGGCTCCCTAGTTAAGGCTGTCTAGTTATCTTCTGAGTTTTGTGAATTCAAGACTATTGCAATTAGTAAAGAGATAGCACACGGATTTCAAGTTAAGTCTCTCAAGGTTCTCTAATGAAATGATATTTGCAGCCTGGATGAATATTTCTTGTTTTTTTCCAAACAGTGGTGATATGCAATAGGACTACAGGCAGAGGTGGGATTCAAATTTTTTTACTACTGGTTCGGTGGGCGTGGCTTGGTGGGCATGGCAGGGAAAGGATACTGCCAAATCTCCATTCCCTCCCCACCCCACTAACCTGCTTTCCAGCTCCGTTCTCCTGGGCAGGGCAACCAAAGAAGACCCAGCCAATCAGCTGGGACTCGGGAGGTAGAGAAGAGATGGGGGGCGGGACCAGTCAGAGGCGGTATTTGCCGGTTCTCCGAACTATTCAAAATTTCCGCTACCGGTTCTCCAGAACTGGTCAGAACCTGCTGAATACCACTTCTGACTGCAGGTAGCCCTCTCCTTATGACCACATTGGAGCGCCAAATTTTTGTTGTTGCCACTTTTCTTGCCACAGTTGTTAAGTGAATCATCATTGCAGTTGATAAGTTAGTAACACAGTTGTTAAGTGCATCCGGCTTCCCCATTGACTTTGCTGGTCAGAAGGTTGCAAAAGGGGAATCGCATGACTCCCGGGACACGGCAACTGTCATAAGTAAGAGTCAGTCGCCAAGCGCTGAATTTTGGCCACATGCTCATGGGGATCCTGGAAAGGTCGTAATTGTGAACAACTGTTGTAAGTCACTTTTTTCATTGCCCTTGTAACTTTGAATGGTCACTAAACAAACCATTGTAAATCGAGGACTACCTGTACTATTTCAGTTATTAACACAGGATCTTTTAGCACAGGTGAAGGATCTTTGGAAGCAAAGTTCTAACCTAGAAGGGCTACTTTTTAGGCAATTGATAGCACATGTTGTTCTTGTTATCAGCCCAAATCAATCCATTGTAATTGAACTTCATTTAAGTAATAGCAATAGCACTTAGACTTATATACCACTTTATAGTACTTTACAGCCCTCTCTAAGCAGTTTCACAGAATCAGCATATTGCCCCCAACAATTTGGGTCCTCATTTTACCTACCTCAGAAGGATGGAAAGCTGAGTCAACCTTGAGCCTGGTGAGATTCGATCTGCCAAATTGCAAGCAGCCAGCTGTCAGCAGAAGTAGCCTGCAGTACTGCACTCTGACCACTGTGCCACCGAGGCTCTAGTACAGGGTTGTTCAAACTTGACAGCTTTAAGACTTGTGGACTTCAACTCCCAGAATTCCTCTCCCAGTCATGTTAGTTCAGGAATTCTGGAAGTTGAAGTCCACAAGTCTTAAACTTGCCAAGTTTGAAGACCCTTGCTCTAGTAGCTTAACCTTCTGCACTGGTTTTTCAGCTTCCCAGTTGTAGGGCTGAAAGAGTGACTAATTCAAATCACCCTGTCAGCTTTGGTACCTAAGGAATGGATTACAGACAGTCCTCGACTTAACGGCCACAATTGGGACCAGAATTTCTGTTGCTAAGCAAGGTGATGGTTCATGAATCACACCTGACCCTTTTTTGACATGGTTATTAAGTGAATCACTGCAGTTGCCAAATGACTCATGCAGTCATTAAGCAAACCTGGCTTCCCCCATTGACTTTGCTTTCTTGGGAGCCAGTTGGGAAAGTCCCCAGGACACTGAAACCATCTCAGATATATTCCAGTTGTCAAGCATCCAAATTTTGATCATGTGACTGTGGGGGATGTTGCAGTGGTCATACGTAGGAGAACCAGTCATTGAAGTTTACAATGGCACTGAAAAACAGCTCGGCCTCCCACTTACAACCATTGGAGCATCCCCACTGCAGTCTTCCTTATGGTCACATGATCAGAATTCAGGTCCTTGGCAACCTGACAGTGGTGGGATTAAATTTTTTTTTACTACCGGTTCTGTGGGCATGGCTTGGTAGCCGTGATGTAGCTTGGTAGGCGTGGCTTGGTGGGCATGACAGGGGAAGGATACTGCAAAATCCCCATTCCTTCCCCACCCCACTAACCTGCTTTCCAGCTCTGTTCTCCTATTCAGGGCAACCAAAAAGGACCCAGCCCATCAGCTGGGACCCAGGAGGCAGAGAATAGATGGGGGCAGGGCCAGTCAGAAGTGGTAATTGCCAGTTCTCTGAACTACTCAAAATTTCCGCTACTGGTTCTCCAGAACTGGTCAGAACCTGCTGAATACCACCTCTGCAACCTGCATATATTTAAGATGGTTGGTTGCAGCATGCTGGGGTCCCATGATCATCATTTGGGATCTTCCCAGCTGGCTTCTTACAAGCAAAGTCAACAACAGGGGGATTCACTTAACTTAACTGATATTGCAAAAAAAGAAAAAGTTGTAAAATTGTATGAGATTTAACAACCACTTTGTTTAGTAAGCAAAATTCTGGTTCCAGTTGTGGTAAGTTGAGGACTATTTGTAGAGGGTTGGCTTCACAGAGTTGATATATATATACCTGATATATATATACCTGACCATTTGAAAAGTAATCCTGTTTTCCCATTCCACAGGTATCTCCCCAAATATTTCACCTCTTGTCTCCCCAAGCCATTCACCTGTCCAGGGTACACCAGCCAACAGTCCCATCCGCAGAACCTCCGGAGAACAATTTCCAGAGTCGACAGTCATGGCCACTACCCAAGCCATCAAGCCTCATAAGCTCTTAGGTTGCACTCAGAGTGCCCCTAACCTATCAGAGCCTGTGGAAGGCACCTCTGTCATTTGTAGAAGGTAAGCCAATCCTTCACTATTTGTTGGAGCTTCTTATATTTTCCTTCCTTCCTCGTATTTCTCTCCTGATCTCTGAGCTTTCTTCAGTAGAGCACATCAATATCCAGTGCCTTGGACAAGTCTTCCCTAACCTGGGCCCCTCCACAAATATTGAATTTATTTTATTTATTGTATCATGCCTCTACAACAATCCTGTGAGGTGGATTGGGCTGAGAGAGAGAGTGACTGGCCCAGCTGGCTTTCATGTCTAAGCGTGGACTAGAACTCACAGTCTCGTAGTGATTGACCCAAAGTCAACCAGTTGGGTTTCATGCCTAAGACAGGACTAGAACTCACAGTCTCCTGATGACTGGCACAAAGTCATCCAGCCAGCTTTCATGCCTAAGGCAGGTGTCATGCCCTTGTTGGAGTCTGAATCCAAGGAGGAAGACAAACAGCTGACAGGGAGTGGGAGTGTGGCTCTGTTGGCTGTGGAGGAAACTGGGGAAAACTGGGGAAGAGCAAAGTACGGCTGGGCAGAGCAGGGGAGAGATAGAACAAGGGAGAGGGAGTTCAGATGAAAACCCAGGCCCACCCCCTCTTCATCCTTGGGCAGTAGGGAGGAACAGAGAAGAGAGCAACGTGGGTTGCATGGCTTACAGGGAAGGAAAGGGCTCTGATTTCCTTCATTAGCCACACCTGGGAATGAAAGTTTATAAGAACTGAATGCTGACTGTGGCAGCTGCTGAGAGCAAACGTGACTTTATCCTGTATTGTCATGGCTTATCTGTGTTCCTGGCATCTTCCCAACCATGTAAGTTTTGCTGTGCCTGCATGTCTGGAATTCTTACTTCTGCCCTGCCAAACTAATTACCTCATTTTGGCTTGAGTGGACTTATAATTACAGTTTGTGTTGACCATATTTTGGACTTGGATTTGTTATAGTCAAAGGCTGTTCCTGGGACAGTTTTTCTCCAGCCAGAAGGTAACCTGGACATTGGGGGCAAAGTTGCAGCTAATAAAGGGACTCTTGTTGATTATCTGGCTGTGTTGCCTTTGTGCCATGCCCCAAGTCATCTCAGCAGGACTAGAACTCACCATCTCACAGTTTCTAGCCAGGTGCCTTAATCACTAGCTCAAACTGGCTTTCAGCTAACTAGATGTCCAAATCGTTCTGACATTCCAGGATTTGAAATCCAATGTCTTCTACACTGTCAAATTGGGGAAGGCCAGTGGGAAAGAATATCATCATCATCATCATCATCATCATCATCATCATCATCATCATCATCATCATCAACATCATGTCTTTTTATATATAACTCAAGGTGGCAAACCTACCTAATATTCCTACCCCTTTCCCCACAACAACCACCCTTCAAAGGTGGGTTGGACTGAAAACAAGTGGCTGGCCCAAAGTCAGCCAGCTGGCTTTCATGTTTAAGCAAGACCTAGAACTCAGTCGCCTGGTTTCCAGGACAGCTGGCTCACCACATCCAGCTGGCTCTCCATGTGGACAAAACATATGGTTCAGCTGCAGGAGATTCTACATTTGATTTAATTAACAACTTGAAGTGCACACGATGGGACTAACCTATGCCCGAGACCCAAGAATAATTGGTTTTAAAGGCAGTTAAGACAGGTTCATAGCAAATAAAAACCAGCAGTAGAAACTAGCTATTAACAGCTGGATGAGAACAGTGTCTTCCAATATTAATTTGGGGAGAGGGGGGGAGATATATTCTGCTCTCCTTAGGAAGCAGGAAGCTAATCTTTCCAAATGCGCTCAACTTTAATTCTCGTCCATCAGTAGCTGCCAGTAGTTGTAGAGAACAGTGAAAAAGAATGATAGGAACAGTGATTGCTCCAGTGTGAGTCAGCTGCTGTGATTCGCAGCATCGGTGTGTCACTTTCCTCAGTCTGAGACCAGCATTTCCCATTTTATTTCATTTCATTTCATTTTTTCATTTTTATTTATTTTTACTCTATTTTATTATTTTATATATTTTTTATTTAATTTAATTTTAATTTATATTTTTTTATTTTATTTATTTATTTTTTATTTTGTAAATACAAGTTACTGCTGTCCAGTCATTGTAAAAGAGACCTGAGCATTTTACTTCCAGCTCTTTGCCTGTCCCTGTCCAGCCAGCGTGGGTTGCTTTTATTTTGAATTTGTGTGTGTGTGTGTGTGTGTGTGTGTGTGTGTGTCTATGCAGCTTCACAGCTCTATTGGTTGGTTCTCCACAACAGGACCAGTTTTTTCCTTTGCTCCTTGGGAAAATTAATTGCCCATCCCGGCTCTAAAAATACTATATCTTTAACCACTTCTGAAGGTCCCTGAGCATCTATTCAAGCTTTTGGAGGCTCCATGAAAGGAGTGTAAACTGAGCTCTTTTAGCAGGTGGCATTTTGGTGGCCCCTGATGATTTCTGAATTCTTCTTATTTCTCAGAAGTGCGGAAAATAAAGGTGTGGCATGTAAATCATTGCAGGAAGCTGCTGAAAGAATAAGTAAGTGATAGTTGAGTTCAGACACTTGGAATTGTTCTTGGCAGATGCACAGTGCTTCAAGATAGCTCACATCTTGTCTTCATTTCCCCTAAATGACTTTGTGGAAATGAAATATGTGGTGGAATGGATTCAGTCAGGTGATCCTTCCAGATAATCATCTCATTTCCCAATCAAATTGATTTAGGTCATGTCCTTTATTTCTTGAGTTTGGTATGTGTGGAAGGCTGAGATCCAAGGAAAAACAAGGTCAACAGACAAACCAATAAAACAAAGTATTTGAAAAAAAAAAAACGTTGATCAATTGTTGGGCACTGTCAGTTTTGATAGTTCCCGGGTTCAAAGTCCCTGTAAGGGCTCCAGTGGGAGGCCTTCCAAACCGAGCTGTATTGCTTCCCTGTGAAAATTAAATTTGGGATTGAAGGAAGGAATTTACAGTATGTTTTTCACGCTAAAGAATCTAGTTCCTTGTCATGCCAAAGAATCCTAGCTCACTTCTCAAGTTCAGAGAGGAGTTGAAAAAAAGAAAGGACATCAGCCTAATTAATAAACCAAGTGGTGAAGTGGTATAATTATCCACTAATCCTTTTGCGTGGTGAAAAAGAACTGAATGCTTTAATCCATGAACACCTAATAGCATATTATGCTGCCCTCTGTCTGGGGACAAATGAATTCCAAATCACTTCTCTGTTTTAATAGTGTCTTTCGGTCATCAGTTATGTGAAATATTTCCTTTTTGAAGCATGAGATCCTTGGATTAGAGCAGATATCCCCAAATTTAGCAACTTTAAGACTTGTGGAGTTCAACTCCCAGAATTCTCCAGCCAGCTGGCTGGAGAATTCTGGGAGCTGAAGTCCACAAGTCTTAAAGTTGCCAAGTTCGGGGATCTCTGAATTAGAGGAAGAATAGGTTGATCTGATATGATAGGAATAATTATTAATGTGTTTATATCCTCTATTATGTTTACAAATAACTCAAGGCGGCAAAAACATCCAACATACCTTTCTCGTCTTATTTTCCAACATGCCTTTCTTGTCTTATTTTCCTTGCAATAACAACCCTGTGAGGTGGGTCTGGCTGAGAGAGGGTGACTGGCGGAAAGTCACCCAGCTGATTTCATTTCTAAGGCGGGACTAGGACTAACTGTCTCCTGGGGATTGGCCCAAAGTCACCCAGCTGATTTCATTTCTAAGGCGGGACTAGGACTCACTGTCTCCCGGTGATTGGCCCAAAGAATCCAGCTGATTTCATGCCTAAGGCAGGACTAGGACTCACTGTCTCCCGGTGATTGGCCCAAAGTAACCCAGCTGATTTCATGCCTAAGGCGGGACTAGAATTCACTGTTTCCCGATGATTGGCCCAAAATAAACCAGATTATTTCATGCCTAAGGCGGAACTAGGACTCACTGTCTTCTGGTGATTGGTCCAAAGTAACCCAGCTGATTTCATTTCTAAGGAAGGACTAGAACTCACCATCTCTTGGTGATTGGCCCAAAATCACCCTGATGGCTTTCATAGCTAAGGCTCAGAATCTCTGCATAATCTGGCATGTTTCCTATTGTAATAAGCGATTTGTACCCAAAACCTGGATTGTGTTATGTGCCATTGTTTGGGAAATTGCAGTATGACTCTAAGTCATCTTGGCTGTCCTCCTGAATCAAATTCTTAGCCATCTGAACCAAATTGTATTCTGCATTTTGGTTTCTTGGAACTAAATTACTGCTAGCATTAGGAAGGACAACCAAGCCAAGCAACAAATTATTTGCTCTCGTTTAGGTAGATCCAGATTTGAATTCTACCTTCTCAGCTTCTAAGGGAGCATTGAAGGGCTACCAGGACAGTTAGTCCTAGACTTACAACACTTTGCTTAGTGACCATACAAAGTTGCAATGGCACTGAAAAAAGCAACTTATGACCGTTTTTCACACTTACAATCATTGCAGCATCCCCATGGTGAAGTGATCAAAAAACAGAACACATGGCAATTGACTCGTATTTATGACGGTCGCAGTGTCCTGGGGTCATGTGATTCACTTTTGTTTCATTCTGACAAGCAAAGTCAAATGAGGTCAACGTCAAAGTCAGATTCACTTCACAACCGTGTTACTCATTTAACAACTGCAGTGATTCACTTAACAAATGGGGCAAGAAAAGTTGTAAAATGGGGCAAAATTCACCTAGCAAATTTCTCACTTAGCAACATATATTTGGGGCTCATTTGTGGTCATAAGTTGAAGACTACCTGTAGTCCTTGACTTACGACTACAATTGGGACCAGAGTTTCTTTTAGTGGAAAAATCCATAAAGTCATAAAGCGAGTCATCTCATGACCGGAGTCAATTTTACGACCATTTTTTACTGCAGTCATTAAGTGAACTACTAAGGTCTTTTAGTAAATCACACGGTCATTAAGCGAATTTGGCTTCTCCAGTTTGTTTGTTGGAAACCAGTAAAGAAGATTACAAATTGTGACCACAAGACCAATCACATAATTGTTAAGGTATTGAAGATTTAAGAGCTGACCAACTGTTGTAAAACTGCTGTAAGGCTGATGCAATGAGGATGAATCAGCATGGTTATTGCCACTTTAAGACTGAGGATGGGTCCCACAGGGTTTTACCACTTTAAGAAGCTGTCTATATATATGAGACCATGAGAGGGCATACCTCTCTCTCCTTGTGTTCTGTCTCCATTGTAATTCTCCATGCAAAGTAAAGAAGATTGATTGCTCGCCAGATATTTGCCTACCATGTATATGTATATATATAGCTGTCTTGTATATAAACCACTGTTAAAAGACAAAGCCTCTGTATGTTATGTTTTGCTCCTGGGTTGTCTCACAACAGTAGTCACGCTGCAAACACTGACACGCTGTAACCTTCATAAATGTAAGCTGGTTGCCAAGTACACCTGCATTGTGTTTGTGTGTCTCTCAGGGTGGTGCCAAGCTCATCACTTACAAGTGTGAGGCTGCCCTCACACTGTCATTAAATCGTCATAAATTGAGGACTATTTCTGTTTCTCTCTCTCCCAAGCAAGTTGCATGAAGTGCGAAATTCACCCAGGTCCATTCCCCCCTGCCCCCCTTGTGTAAGTCCGATGGGAAAGTAGGTCAGAGCTGTGACATCTTATAATATGCTGAGCACTTAAGATACAATGAATTTAAATGATGAACTCACAGAAGAGAGTTTCCAGGGGACAATTCAGATGTGAGCGAGCCAACCAATACTAACACTTGGAATTGGTTTTACAGACCATTTTATTAATCGGAGAATTGAGATCCTGGAGTGTCTCTCTTGCACCACATTTTGTAATTCTTGAAGTTTTCAAAAACCAAAGCTGATCTGGCCTGCTCCCTCCCATTCCTTCAGAGCCTTCTTAGATCAGGTTGCTGTCCTGTGGGCTCAAATCGCACATTTGGCAGCCTGTATTTTCATTTTTTGAATATGCACTTGGCAAAATAAGAACGTAACGATCTCCGGCCTCAGCTGAACCCCCGCCAACCCCCAAAAATCTGAAATCCCGCTCCAGTGATATTGCTACAGCCTGTTGAGGCTCTAAGAAGCCAATTTATAAATACGTAAATACCATAGCCAGCAAAATAAAACCTCTGACTTCTTGGATGCCAAAAGGTTGCCATCCCTTTTTAAAGTCACTGTTTCTTCCCTTTTATGTTGTTGACCCTACCTGACCCTTAACCTGTTTTACTCTACTACCTGACTCAGTTGTTACATGGTGAAACTAGAGGTGGTGTTCAGCAGGTTCTGACCAGTTCTAGAGAACCGGTAGTGGAAATTTTGAGTAGTTTGGAGAACTATGCTGCCTACAGTCTGACCTCAGCTTAGTACACAAAATTGTCTGCTACAACGTCCTACCTGTCAATGACTACTTCAGCTTCAACCGCAATAAGACACAGGCAAACAATAGATACAAACTCAAAGTAAACCCCTCCAAACCCGATTGCAGAAAATACGATTTCAGCAACAGAGTGGTCAGTGCCTGGAACTCACTACCTGACTCTGTTGTTCCATCCTCAAACCCCCAAAACTTTAACCTTAAACTGTCTACCATGGACCTCACTCCATTCCTAAGAGATCTGTAAGGGGGCGTGCATAAGCGCACCAGCGTGCCTACCGTCCCTGTCCTACTCTTCCCATTTATTCGTACTCATTTATTATGTATATATTTATTTATTTTTATTTTTTGTCAAATGCTTACAAGATAATAGGTATAAGTAAAAACATAGTTATGAATACATGGATACATATAAGAAAAATTAAAAAAATAGAAGAAACAATAGGGCAGGAACAGTGGGCACGTTGGTGCGCTTATGCACGCCCCCTACTTATGCACGCCCCCTAATTTATACCTGTTTAAACTTATGTTTATGTTATGTTCATACTTATACTTGTTTTCTCATATACGCTTGACAAACTAAACTAAATAAAATAAAATAAACTTTCGCCATGCAAGGAGCATTTGATGATCATCAGAAAGTGGCTTTTGTAGGAAAATAGGAGCTTGAGGCCAGGTTATGACATTAAATTAGAAATCCTTTCCCACTCTGATCTGCCTGATAGTGCTGTGAAAACTGGCTGAAGGCATTGTTGCTCACTTTCTAGGGATTCCTGCTGAGATAAACGTTGGCCACTGTTTATATGCCTGCAAAACCTGAAGGTTTCATTTGGACATTGAATTTATGAATTTATCAGAGTGAACAATATAAATTATAGGTTGCTTAGAGTCTCTAATCCTGTTTTTTTTGGCAGGGTCTGACACCTCCCCTCTCCCAGCTATAGATACTAACATTTGGTAGGCACAAGGTGTAAAAAAAAATAAGAATTGTTCAGCTTAGGCTTAAAGAACAAAACAGAACAAGTCTAATAGCACCTTAATGATATTTTTAAAACAGCTTTGCATGCACGTGGATTACAGGCATACAGATAGGGAGGCAGTCCTCAATTTACCAATGTTTGTTTAGTGACTGTTCAAAGTTACAACAGCACTGAAAAAAATGACTTCTGTCTACTTATCACACGGCCGTTGCAAGCATCCTTGATAGTCACATGATCAAAATGTGGATATTTGGCAACTTGCTCATATGCACGATGGTTATAATATCCTGGAATCTTATGATCACCTGTGGTGATCTTCTGATCAAGAAAATCAATGGGGAAGCCAGATTCACTTTAACAACCATGTTACAACTGCAGTGATTCACTTTAACAACTGTGGCAAGAAAAGTCGTAAAATGGGCAAAGCTCATTGTACAACTGTCTCATATACCAACAGAAGTTTTGGGCTCAATTGTGGTCATATGTCGAGGACTACCCGTAGCTAGTTAATATATGTACTAGTGCACGGGTCAGCAACCTGCAGCTCTGGAGCCGCATGTGGCTCTTTCATCCCTCTGCTGCGGCTCCCTGTGACTAGTTGGCTCCACAATTGATAGGACTTTCAGTTAGGACAGAGAAAGGAAAAGGGATGATGTGCTAGGAGGAAACTCTGTGGTGGGGGAACCGGACTTCTGGTTGGCTCCAGAATTGAACAGGGACTTCTTGTTAGGATCTTTGTGCCTCTTTGAATGCTTAAAGTTGCCGACCCCTGTACTAGTGTAATCAAATGAGTCTTATGTTGAGTCCACAAGAAATAGTGTTGACTGTTTTCCTGCTGGTGGGTTTCATAATGAAACTATTCTTTGTGATTCAAGGACTTATTTTTCACTTCTAGAACAATTTTGTCTCTCACCTTTGCTTTTTACTCTTTCTTTCTTTTTCCTTGCCTCTCCATCAACAGCTCCATGCATTTGTGTGTGGGTGTGAGAGTATATAAACTGCTTTTTTTTTATTACTACCATATCGTCTACAATCCCTGGAAGCCAAGTGATTTTGTTTTTAAAGTGTGGTGGTCCCCTAATTGTAAAACTGTTTTCCACCTCTGTTATGTATCAATTATGTGTTGCATACCAGGATTAGGAAGAAAAAAAAAAAACCATTTGCTCCATGTTTTGAAGTAATCTAATTTAATTCACTCCAAAGAGGCAGATTGGAACAATTATCCTTTGGTTCATGAAGATTCTCAGTTTTGCAATACTATTAATCTAAAAGTAGCATTCAAAAACTGTGTGCATTGGGAAGAGCCTCACACGGGTGTGTATATTGAACAGGATTGTTTGCCAACAGAGATACCGTAAATGGGTACAAAATCCAGATGTTAGGGAAATTATGTGTGCGAAAAAGAAACGATGTGGTTTTCCACATATTTCTTTTGAAAAACAATGCGGGCTAATGAGGACATGAGAACAGATTTATGGGTGTGTAGAATGACCGGCCTTTCCCCCAGTTATGGAAAGAAATATATGCATGGACCCAGCTCTGCTAATTGAATGAGCATTAATCAAGCAATCTGTTTGCATGTAGGAATCAGGAAAAGGAATGTGCAGTTACATGAGTTGCTGCTCATAATTGATTGCCGCCTATCCATTTGCTGCTTGTCCACCGTTTGACCCAATTTCTGTCATACCATTTTATTCTCCAGCTGTGGAAGGCTATACAGCCCAACAGACCCCAGAGAAGGAACGCTGGATAGGAATGATGGTGCCGCACACACTTTGAACAGGACAGGTAAGTAGCTGTACCTGATGATCGAGCTTGGGATGGGATGGGACTCTGCTTTTTGTCAGCTCTGGAAGCCATCTTAGAATCAGAAGCTTCCATGCTGCCACATTCCTGTGCTTGGGAAAGTGGAGGGTTGGATTTTAGAGTGTTGGTAGTTAGACATAATAGCATTCTTCTTTTCTGTCAAGTCATATTATTCCTACATTTGGAGTTGGAGTGATTGGAGGGATGTCCCAAGTTGGGACGGTTGGTGATTGGACCATATGATGGACTGATGGGTGCAGGGCTTGGGTTTTGAATTTTGAATTACTAAGGGAAAACCCGGAACTCTCAGATTCAGGTTTTCCCAGATGCGCCAGTATAATTATTCTAATAAAAGGAAACTTTGAGAAAATGCCTGTTGGAGTTTTTAATTGGAGTTGGGTTTTTCTGGAACTCTGACAGGGAATCTGCTTCGGTTGGTTCAAGGGAAAGAGATTTTGTCCTCAGTTGGGTCCTAACAGCAGTAACAGGCAGGTGGGTTTTCATTTTAGATGATCCCGCGCAGGCCACCTCCGACTATGAGACGAATAACAGCGACAGCAGTGACATTGTGCAGAATGAAGACGAGACATCTTGTGCCAAGGAGAAGAGCCAGGAGGGCCCGCACTGCAGGACGTTTGCCCCAGAGACGGTCATTTTGCATCCTTTGCTGCCTGTGGAGGTATTCCATTCACTGTTGAACCTAGCAGGACCTCACCAATGTACCTGAGAATGCTTAGAAGGAGATGTAGACATTGTAAGAGGAGAGCTGTTTTAGTCCATGGTAGCCCAAAATTAAAAAGAGTCTAAACAAAAGCCAAGTCAATATCACAGCACTACAACCTGCCAGGACAGTCCCATTACAGATCTCAAAGCAGCCATTTTGGAGGAAGGAAACCCTGTTCCTGGAAAGTGGGCAGAGAAGAGCAAACAAAGATGAGAAAGAGTCTGGAGACTAAATCGTGCAATGAACGTTACAGTTGAGGGAGCTAGATGTGTCTAGCCCAGGGGTCCCCAAACTTGGCAACTTTAAGACTTGTGGACTTCAGCTCCCAGAATACCTCATAGCTGGCTGAGGAATTTTGAGAGTTGTAGTCCACAAGTCTTAAAGTTGCTAAGTTTGGGGACCCCTGGGCTAGCCAATCAAAGAGAAGGTTGTGGGGACATGATAACTGTCTTCCAGTACTTGAAGAGCTGTCAGAAGAGGGGATCAGTTTATTCTCCAAAGTACCAGAGGGCAAGACAAGAAGTAATGGGTGGACGTTTATTAAAAAGAAATCCAACTAGAAGTAAGAAGAGATTTCCTGTCAGTGGGGACAATCAATCAATGGAATAGCTTGCCTCCTGGGGTTGTGGGTGTTCCAATGATGGAGGTTTTCAAAAATAGACTGGACAACCATTTAACTGGGATGGTATAAGACTCCTGTCTTGAGGAGAGGTTTGGACTAGAAGACACAAGAGGCCCCTTCCAACCCTATGAATTTAACTTTAACAGCACAGTTGAATGAGAGACTGCTGAAAAAGTTCAGACTTTCCAGAAGCCTCAACAAACACAATAGGTTTTTAACATATTATAATTGATACGATACTTAAAATTTGTCTCACGTATAACCTGCATACGCACAACCAACCAGTTTCCCCCTCCATTCCCCCCCTCCTCAGTCCAATTTAAATCCAAAATTGCTTCAGCAACTCCACCCATCGGATCGTTTGCTGCAGCTTATAAAGCTTATGCCATCTAAGAAAATCCATTAACCAGAACAGTCTGTAGAGTCTTGAAATCAGCATTTGAAAAAAATAAGTCCATTGTTTTTGTTTTGTTTTCTTTTGTTTGTAAAGCTGGGGTTTCAACACATGTTCTGTGTTTATCATATTTGTATGCCGCATGCTTACAGTCAATTTCCAAATTCCATTTGTGTACATCTGGTTAAAAGAAAGGAAGGAAAATATGTTGCTAAACCCTCAAAACCAATTCACTAGTTGGTGTAGTATAAACAATTTCTAAATAATCAAGTGTTCAGGTTTGTTCTCCTTGCCATCATAGGAGATGATACAGAGCTATACAATCTTTATCAAAAGATATAAATAAGCTTCATATGATGACAGCCTACTGGCTGTGTTCCTTGAAGTTCTCTGCTGATTTAGCAAGACTTCTTGTCAGGCACGAAGGATCAGGACTACACATTAAGTTCCAGTTAAGCTAATTTATTTATAGACAGTAATCTAGTCACGTAATGATCAGCACTAAATGTGTAGATAAGAGACAACAGAATTCAAGAGGGGTTGGACTTAGTCCATTTGTGGGAATGTAATGATTCTAGGCTGATGACTTGCTTAGCACCACCCCTCAGGCTCTGCCTGCTTTTCCTATACTTGTAAGACCAGTCAGTTAACTTTCACTTTGAGGAACCAAAGAGTTTCTGATTATGATTTGGGTTGAGGATCTTCTGGAGTGGGAAGGTCTAAATATTTAAGATGAATACTGAAGATGCTCAGTAGCTCCGGAACATTGACTGATGAATATGAGAGCATACAGTGGAAAAGCGAAAATGCAGAATCTGAACTCTTAAACATCAGCACTTCATTTTCTTCCTCATTTCCCTTCTTTTGGGAACAAGGTCATAATCCTTTGTAAACACCATCCCATAGCCCATTTTACTTCGATAACTATGGTAAAGTCAAACTTGGCTCCTGGTGGCTTCATCCATACTTCTGTGTAGGTTCCTGAGCAATGGCAGTAGGAAGAGTAATTTATGTGTATCTTCTTTTCAGATGGATTTTTATCCATCTAATCTAGTGTCATCTGATCTCAACTAATCAAATCTAATCTATCTAATCTAAATGGCCACCCACCTCATACAAGGTGGCTCTTGTTGATGTACAATAAGGTGAACTATTAAAACTGAACATAAAAGCCAATGGCAGCAAATAATTACAATAAAGAAAAACAACATTGCAAGAGAGTTAAGATATTATACATGGTGCAGCCAATGCACAAGCTCTCTGCTTCCAAGGGATGCCAAGGCCTGATGGAAAAACCCCCACACATTTTGAATGTTCTCCAAAAAGCCAAAATGGCTAGGATTAACCTTACCACTCTAGGCCTGCTTTTTCTCATAGTTTCCTATCCCTCCCATGCTAATGAGGTATGAGCCTATCACAGATTCTTTTCTGTATACCCAGGTGAGTGGACTCCAAAATGCAAGAGGGCCAACACAACCACATAGGTTTCTAGGCAACACCACACAAGCATTCAAAGACTAATACTTACTCCTGACTATTCTTCCCCAGTTCTACTATGGCTCTTAATAACTGCTCCTCTACCACTTCTCCTTTTGAGTTCTACAGCTTGAGAACAGTACCTGTTTCTATTAGCCAAAGGATGCTTCAGGCTTTATTTCAATAAATTACCACAAATCACTTTCCATCTCCCTCTCCCTCTGACACCAATGCCACTCCATCACTGCTAGTTGTCTCTCTGTTCAGCTTTTGTAGCTACCAGTTGTTGTGCTGGCTAGGGAGAGGTCTTGAACAGTGGACAACTGTGGTCCCTTTATGATCTGTGGACCATGCTGGCTCAGGAATTCTTGGAGTTGAAGTCTACAATTCATAAAGGGGCCATAGTTGCCCACCCCTGCCTTAAAGGGACAGGGCACTATCAGGCCAGGCGGCGGCCATTTTCTAGGCAGCCACCTTAGTTTTTTGAGTTCAGACAAAGTACAGGATAAAAATAAGATATAGATGAGTTTTCTATTCCAGTTAGCTATTTAGATTGGTACCATTGCAGAGATACAGAGATAGCCATTGGGATTGGGAACCTATGGGGATTAACCTTAACTCGTTTCAATTGCTTTATTTGTTCTTACTGTGTTTTATTGTTTTTGCACTGTAAACTGCCAGGATATTATGGTCTGGAAGAGTTAGAAATAAAGACAAAAAGAAACATTCTAAGCAACACCCATAAAAAAAACCCAACTGTCAAAATGGAGAAAAATAGTTTGACAGATGGAAGTAATTTGAAACAGTTGTGTACAATTGCTCAAGAATCCCCAGGTGGCCTAAATTAAGCTTATAAATATTCCCATTTAGTGCATCACTAATGAAGTCTCAGAAATGGTGCAAGAATCCCAGGTGACGATTTTGAAAGCATATATTGGTTATCTATCTTTTGAATTGCAGAATTCAAAAGCTAACTAACATTAGGAACGTAGCGTTCACTAGGCTGAATTTTCTCCTCACAAACGTTTGATTAACAAATGGCCTTTGCTATGGACCCTGCTTATAAATTACTTCAAATAAAGATAAGCCAAAGAGGGAAGAAAATAGCCCGAGGCACATCTTTCTTATCCCACACCCAACAGTCAACACGTATATAAGGTGGGGAGGGAAACTCAACACAACAATCTAAGATGAAACAATGCAGCCAACTGAGCCAGTAACAGGCACGCAGGCACTATAACTATTCCGATCAAGACCGGTAGGTCAAAGTGCCCCATACAAAAAGCCAAATGACCCCACTGCCATGTGCCACCTACTTTGATAATGAAATATTTGCAAGACTAAACTTAGTGAACGCCCAAATCCCAACATTCCCCATATATTTTCCACTCAAGATAAGTAAGCCAATGTCAAAACCAGAAACCACTAAAGGAAAGGAAGGAAGAATAAAAATTCCTTTTAATTCAAGACAAGAGCAAACATAAATAAACATCTGTACTCAATATTTCTGTCCGGGATGACACTTGTTTAGACACAGATAATCTATTAGGAAAAATATTTTTAATGCAACTAATTAATAGGGACCAGATTGGAAGAAAATGCCCTCTGTTATAAATTTTTCAAAGCTCATTTCTATGTCAGTTTTTTAGCCACAGCTATGACAGATGACAAAGTGACATTTTCAAAGGCCATCAGCCTGGTGGGAAATGAATTTTAATTTTCCAGAGTTTTGCAATAACAAACTTAACAACCAGCAACTGAATTTGAATCAATTTTGTACATGGCAACAACTGATAGGAAACATAAGACAATCAGCCATATACAGGATTCAGTATAGAAAATGTGGATTTTCGTTGTTGCTGTTTTCAACCACAAGAACTGGCTACTTATGCATCGCTACCAATGATGGCAAAAATGGGTCAATTCTCTTATAATTCTACGAACTCTGTAAAGATGACGGTCGACACTGTGATGATAGCAATGTATTTTTCTTTGTGGTCAATCCTTGATGATCCCTTGAAATAAAAGAACTGAAGATGCTCCTTAGATGAGAAGCGAAACGCCTTCAAGAAAAAACAAAGGAAGTCCATTTGCCTCTTTTAAAAGCACCTTTGGAAAAACTATGACCTGGATGACTGAGAATCTCTATAGACGTCCCTTGAAGCAGATCTAAAATGAATTCTTTGTTACAGAGAAGCTCAATAATATTCATTGTTTGAACCTCCCAATCATCTTCTGGAGTCCTGAAGACAGTCTGTCACACACCTAGCTACATTATCCAGTACATATATGTTTGAATACTCATTCATCATGGTTGGCAAAACATTTTGAATTTATGCACGTCAAAAACTCGATTTTGAGTTCAAGTCAGCTGTTCCCACCTTACCCAAATTTTTCCAATATATTTTTGGCCATTCTAAAAGAATCTGGTGCTTGAAACGCTTCGGTGAGAAGAACATGAGAAGAATTTGAGAAGGTTAGAACAATTCATAGGAAACTCAAAACCCCGCCTCCCTCCATCTTGTTCTGTCCCCAAAGAAGGATGCTTTGATTATAAATCTTTTGATATTTGAAATGGGTGGTTGCTCCCTGTCTTCTCCAGCGTGTCATCATTTTTCATTTCCACGTTGAAGGTGATTATTTGGAGAATTGGGAGATTTCTGGAGCCCATACCTAAGGCCCGCAACCTTCCCAAGGGAATTGTCTCTCAATCCTCCACTTTCCAACCCAGTTTGAATTCAGAATAACAACAATAACAGCCCCTGCCAAACAGCAATAACTCTCACTCCAGGATGGTTCTGACAGCTGCTGAGTTTTTTTTCTTTGTAACTACGCAAAACCTCTTAGCTTTGCCCAACTTATGAACATAAAACACTTCTGTAGATGGTCTTCCAACAGTACTCTACAAGGCCAGAACATCTTCTGTTTAGCACTACCTGACCGAAGTCCTTTCAATTCCTACAAGGTCTTTTCCTTTTTTACCTGGATCCGTTGGGCGGTGCTAGTTCTAAGTTCCTTTGGCAATTTGGTTTTCTCTCTTTTTTACAATTTTTCCCCTTTCCAAATCAATTGTCCTCTTTTGTGGAGCCAACTTCGTGTCTGCTCAATAAAATTCAAGGGACAAGACACTGACATCAAAGAACTATATGCTGAGAATCTTTGGGGGATTAACTCTGGGTTTCCTTTGAAAGAGTGTAAGTTCATCAACTATCCAATTTCCCTACCCAACATGGTAACCTATGTGATAGTTTGACCTTGGTACCATCTGCTGAAAGAACATATCATGATATGCTTTAAGAGAGAACTTCTCACCACTTCCTTCTTCATGTTTTTCCCATAGTAAAGAGGTACCTCCAATGCACTTGCTGCATTTTGATGCAAGTATTTCATTGTTTTCATTTACAGATTTCAACAATAATCAATCAGTTATATTCTCCTTCATCTTCCAAAGAAAGAAAGTGCTAGATATTTTCATCTTTTTCAGATCTAAAAGGCTACTAAGTTTGGGTCTTTTAATATTCTCATTTAACAGTGGACTTTTTACTGCATTTTGATGCAGCATCAAAATCAAGAAGAGGGCGATCATAGGTGTTTGATATTGTTTAAAATAAACAGACTTCCAAAACGAGGAGGAGAGCATAGTGTCCGTCAGATTTCATAGGAAAGGTGTCCCTGTAGGGACTTTGAACTACAATTCCCATAATCACTATTTGCCATTGGATATGAGTTTAAATCCAAAACATCTGGAAAATACTGAATGTGTGTGTCTCTTTTATATAGGAATTAATTCTGGGAATCATTAAAACTTTCAAGATCAAATCTCTCTAATTGTAACAAGATGCTTTAACTGTATTTTCTTCTTACAGCTGTACTGTATTTGCATACTGTGCTTTAAGCGAGTTACTGGGACTCTTTCTCTCTTAGAAATGGCAGCGTATTAGGTCAGAAAATGGACTAACTTGACACAATGTTCAGACAACTCATTTAAAAATAAAAATCGAAACGAAACCCTAATTAAAATTTACATTTTGCTACTGGAACTGATTAAGGGCGTTTCTGTTTGAGAAAACAGCAAATTCGTTTTAGTTATTTATTATTAGAATTTGTTCATTATTAGAATAATGAATAACAATTGCAAGAATTGGGTATGTCTAGTTAATGGAAAGAAGCACTACAGGTAACATGATAGCAGTCTCCCAATATCCAATGTGCTGCCACAAAGAAGAAGGGAGGGGTCAACCTGTTCTCCAAAGCACGTGAAGTAAAGACAAGAAGCAATGGATGGGAATTTTTCAAGAGGCAACTGGATTTTGTGACAACCATGACCTGGATAACTGAGAATCTCCATTGACAATGGATGAAAACTAATCAAGGAGAGAAGCAACCTAGAACTAAGGGAAAATTTCCATACATGGAGAACAATTAATCAGTGGAACAACTTGCCTCCAGAGGTTGCGGATGCTCCAACACTTTTTGTAAGAAGAGATTGGACAACCATTTCTCTGAAATGGAATAGGACTTCCTGCCTAAGCAAAGGGTTGGACTAGAAGACCTTCAAGGTCCCTTCCAACTCTGTTAGAAGTGATTTTACCTAGATATTACCTCTGTCAAATCAGCTGTTGCTTTCAGAACTTGGTTTGCAAGCTGAGATTATATCATACTTTCCCAGTTCATGTGTAAGGAAAACCAGTTTAGAACTAGGAATCTATTGAGTTTAGCCAGCTCAGGAAATGGTACCCTGAAAACCTTTGAGAGCTGGATCAACATTCTTTTGGTTCACTTTTTTGTTATTTGTTTGTTTATAGGTTGCTATAAAAGGTTGCTTTTCCCATTTTTTTACATTTGGGATGTGTTTGTTGGTTATCTGTTACAGGAAAAACCTATCCTTGCCCCCGAGCCTCTAATAATGGACAATTTGGACCCATTAATGGAGCAACTAAACAATTGGAATTTCCCAATCTTTGATTTGGTAGACAAAACCAACAGGAGATGTGGTCGGATTTTAAGTCAGGTAAGAAATTAAATGTTCTATAAGATTTACCTCAGGGTTCTGCTTTTTATAATGCATCCTTCTCGAAATCACCGATCCTAATCCAGAGCTATCTGAATGCAGAGATGTGTTTCTTTCTGTTCTACTGTTATGTGGGAATCAAATATTACGGCTTTCTGATTCGTACAAACCCATCCAGTGTGGCTCCTCTGATAAGCCATGATTTAAATCCTAGCTGAGTCATAGGTTAGGAACTCAGGTGCAAAGTTTCTATTGCTATATGCCAGGTTAGGAAACAAACATTGCCCAAACACCAAGAATTAGATCCAGGCCTTTTAAGAAGGATTTTGAGAAACAAAATATATTTTGTTAAAGAAAGCTTTAGCAGTTATTAACACTGAAGAAGAAGAGACTTGTTAGTTATGTTAGCAGAAACAAGGAATGTGACAGCACCTTTTCTAACTGACACATTTTATTCAAAGGTGCTAAAAAAAATTCCAACTAAAATACGTTAGTCGGAAAAGGTGCTACCAGACTTCTTCTAAAATGGTGGTTTCGAATCAGTTTTGAAAAAGAAAATAGCCCACGCACTACTAGGGAAACCTTCGGCTCTAGCACAGGCAAATGTGTAAAAAGAGGTTTCTTTTTTCATGCAAAAAAAAAATGGTGAGTAGGAAGAGTAAACCTTAGTTCTGCTTGATGGCAAGCTGTGTGCTTAGATAATGTCTTAATTTTCACTTACTGTTAGACTAATAATGCCCCTGGAGGGATATAACACGTTTTGCTGAAAAAAAAGAAGGGATAGAGTGGAAGGCTGCCACTAGAAAGATTAAAGCCAGACTTCCATTTAAAAACAAAGTTAAATTTCACTGCACCTTCTTGTAAAACAAGAAAAAAAAATAGCAGCTTCTCGACCAGCGGGTTTCCAGATTCTAGGAAAACCTGCTGGAATGAAATTCACAGAGGTGGCGGCTGCAGATAAGAACTTGGTAATGACCGGAGGGTGATTTGTTTGGCTTAGGTCCCTAGGAAATTGGTTTGACTAGGAGGAAGCCAACAACCTTAATCAAGAAATCAGATCTTGGGCGTCAACTGCAGTCCCTCAGCAATATTTGCTGTGCTGCAGCTGATGTCTTATTTAAACCAATAACAGTTCAAAAATTGCACGATCATCACACCTGGTGGGTGTGTTTATATTCCAGATGAGATCTTGGGTAGGAAGGTACAATCTGCAAGATCCTCCTGTGAGTATGTATGTATGTGTGTGAGAGAGAGAGGCAGTTTGGTCTAGTGGTTAAGGCACCAGGCAAGAAAGTAAGAGACCGTGAGTTCAAGTCTTACCTTAGCCACGAAAGCCAGCTGGATGATCTTGAGCCAGTCACACTGACCCAGCCTTCATGAACCCCACTCAACAGCCTACTTGTGAAGAAAAACAAAACCCTTTTATTAGAAAGGCGGGAATTCACAGCATGACAAAGCTCCAGGTCACACATCCATAGGTGATTCATAAGACTAACAGTCTCTGAGTTCTCCCCAGGGAGTCTCAATTAGCACTTTAATCCCAATACGGAGAGTCCTGACCAACCTGGGTCAGAGAACTCTTCTGGAGCATGAATGGTTGTCTCTGACAACCATCCCTCCCACACCTCTCCTCCTTATATCCTAGCCAGGGAGCGGTTTGTTAACGTGTCTCCTTCTTTTCCTGCATTGCTCTCCTCTCTGCACTTCTCTGCACATACGCTCGTATGGGACAGGCCCCAGATGTTCCTCGTTCAGCTCAGGGCCCCAAAACATCTGTCTCTCCGCCTGAGCCATAAGTAGATGGGCCCTGCTCTGCATCTGGCTCGGAGACCTTGTGCTCCTCAGAGCCTTCTGCAGCTCCAATGCTAACCCAGGCACCCCCTCTGTCTCCTCTGACTCAACTGCCATCTTCGCCGGCAATCGACAAACCACAACACAACACAACCCTCTTCACAGGGTTTGTTGTTATTGTTATGGGGAAGATAGGAGGAGGAAGATGTGTAGGGTATGTTCGCTGCCTTCAGTTATTCAGTAAAAATAATAAAAGAGGGATATAAATGAATAAGATTCTGGACCTCTCAAGAGAGACGAGTTGGTTTAAGATTTGTGGGCTACTTGCAGTCCCAAGTTGTCCATCCTGTTATCAAGCCCGTTTTTACAAACCACAAAACTAAGTTTGTGCGTTACTGTATATTGTTCCAAAATGAAGCCCGGGTATAAGGTTTTGTAAAGGTAGTCCTCAACTTACGACCACCATTGGGTCTCACTTATTGTTAAGTGAGAAATTTGTTAAGCAAATTTGCCTCCATTTCATGACTTTTCTTGCCACATTTCTTAAGTGAAGCAATGTGGTTGTTAAGCGAATGGGGCTTCCCCATCGACTTTCCTTTTCAGAAGGTTGCAAAAGAAGATCCCATGACTCCGGGACATTGCAACTGTCATAAATGTGAGTCAGTTGTCAAGTATCTAAATATCAATCACATGACTTTGGGGATGCTGCAATAGTCATAAGTGTGAAAAACTGTCATAAGTCACTTTTTTCAGTGCCACTGTACCTTTGAATGGTCACTAAATAAACTGTTGTAAGTCGAGGACTATCTGTACAGTGTATCTCTAGCCAGCTATACCAAAGGCTGTGAAACCATTTTTATCTGCTCAATCTGTTTCAAATCGTTTAGTTTAGTTTAGTTTATTGTCATTGCACTTTGTACAACGAAATCAAACACCATCTTCAGGGCACATCATGAGCGTGAAAATAACACATCCTTCACACTACACACATTGAACTGAAAACACGCAACACCACACCAACACTGAACTATACAGCAGAATTCAAAAGAGCTACTGCCCTGGGATAGAAGCTGTTTTCCAACCTATTTGTCCTTGTTTTTATTATCCTGTACTGTCTGCCAGATGGTAATAGTTCAAAAAAAAAGGGTGCCCGGGATAAGATGGATCTTTGAGAATGTTTTGAACCTTGTTAAGGCAGCGTAAGCTATAAAGCTCTTCTAAAGAGGGCAGAGGGCAACCAAGGATCTTCTGGGCAATGACATTAACCCTCTGGAGCGCTGTCCTATAGGTCCCTGTGCAATTGGCAAACCATACAGAGGTGCAATAAGTTAAGATACTCTCTATGATGCAGCGATAGAAGGTCACCAGCAGTTTTTCATTCAGTTGTTGTTTTCTGAGAAGTCTCAGGTAGCATAACCTCTGCTGGGCCCTTTTGACCAGTGCTGCAACGTGAGCACCCCAGGTCAAATTTATAAGAATTAAATTAAATTTATAAGTATAAATTTAAGTCTGTTAAACTTATCTGTGCTAACAGCCGTTAAACCATCTTTTATTTATTCCATCGGGAGGGACAGGCCTAGAACCCAAAGTGGTATATTCTGAACAGGGGAGGTGGGGTGTCCCACAACTTAACAACTACAATTGGGCCCAGAATTTTTGTTACCAAACAAGGCAGTTGTTAAGTGAGTCCCGTCCAATTTTGCCATGGTGGTTAAGAGAATCCCTGCCTTTCTTAAGTGAACCATGCAGTCATTAAGTGAATCCAGCTTCCTCCCTTGATTTTTCTTGTCGGAAGCCAGCTGGTCAGGTCACGAATGGCAATTATTCCAAGACATTTCAACCATGCCGGTTGCCAAGCTCCCAAATTTTGAATATGTGATATTGAATGGATGCTGTGATGTAAGGGTGAGGACTCCTCATGAGTCACTTTTTCAGGGCTATTGAAACTTTGAACACTTGCCAAACAAAATGGTTGCAAATCAAGGTATGGACTTCCCATATATAAATTGCAACCATAAATTGTTTGTCTTCCCTGAATTGAACAAGGTGTCCACCAGAACTTTTATAGATAGAAGGCAGAGCAAATACTGTTCCTAAATGGAGCAAAGTCTTGTGTCAGACGGAAGAAACCGGGAGGCAAGCGAGTTTAAATGACCACGGGTTTATTGCATGCTAACACTCTCTGCAAGAATCTGAATTACTAACTACTGAGCTACTAATGGTCAAAGAAAATTGACAGTAGATAAGAGTCAATGGAATTCAAGATGGGCTGGACTTTGATTTCTTGTTGGTGTGAAGGGACTCAAGATTGACGATATACTTGACGCCTCCCTCCGACTCAGTCTGGTCATCTCCTACAGCCGATTTAAGCTTGGAGATAGTCTGAAGACCTAGGAGTGGTGCAGCGGCCTACAGGTGAAGCTCTCGCCTCACAATCAGGAGGCTGTGAGTTCGATCCTAGGTAGAGGTAGAGGTTTCTCTCTCTGGGCACACTGAGAATATATGTGCTGAACAAAACTCTGCATTGGTGACAGGAAGGGCATCCGGCCAGTAAAACACTCTGCTAGCTCCATCCAGTTGTCCAGACTCCACCCCGCAAGGGATTATGGGGTGGTTAAATGATGATGATAATAATCTGAAGATCTAGATTCACCTGTCAAAGATAGCCAACCTCTAGTTCTAAGAAGGATGGTTCCTTTTCTTTATTTTCCAGGTATCCTATAGGCTATTTGAAGATATGGGTCTCTTTGAAACTTTTAAAATCCCTATAAAAGAGTTTATGAACTATTTCCATGCCTTAGAATGTGGATATCGGGAGATACCTTGTAAGTACAATAGTATAATTCTTTGCTATTTCTGATTCTTTTATTTTTCATTTCTCTTATTTTTTTTAATCATAGCACACACTTATTTTCCTTCACTGCCCATAGCAGATTACTTCCAAGCCGGTTTTTTTAAAAATAAAACCCTTGGCTATTATTAAAACAAAATCTATACAATGTTTAGTTCAATCACATTTTTAAATAATCCAGGGGCATTTCTGTAATTCCTCAGGGAAGACTTTCTGAATAAGAAAGTTTTCCTCTATCGTCTTAAAAGTCTGGTAGCAGATGATAGCTGTGATTTTTTTAAAGCACCTTTTATTTAAACTTTAAAGTTAGAATGCCATAGAGGAATTTTAATATTGCGGTGAATATCATTTGACTGATTCTTAAAGGTGCAAACCGGGAATAAATCAACATTCTCACCTGTGGCCAGCAGATGGTGCTGTTACCTCCCCCCAATCCATCCTCAAATACAACAAACCTGTCTCCCTTACAGATCATAACAGAATTCATGCTACTGATGTCCTCCATGCTGTCTGGTACCTTTCGTCCCAGCCCATCCCTGGCCTCCCAACTATGATTAATGACCATGGATCAGCAAGTGATTCAGGTAATGTTATGAAAAGGTCTGGCTGCCATGAACTGAATTTTTCTGTGCTGTGTTGTTACAGATCAGGGATGCCAGGGCTCGTGGGCTGAATCCGGCCCGGCGAGGAGGTGCTTAGAACTGGCCCACAGGGCCACCCTGGAAACAATGAAGGAGCAGCCTGCAGTGCCTCTGTGCAGCCTCCCAAGCTCAATTTTCTCTGGCTGTTGTAGCCAAAAACGGAGCTTGGGAGCCCATTTTCTCTGGCATAGCGCTTGGGCCATCACAGGCACCCCCAACACAAGTGATGTCAAGATGGCCACGCCCAGCCTGGCCATAACCCCACCCTCCCAAGGTCAAACACAACTCTGATGTAGCTCTCAATGAAATGGAGTTTGATACCCCTGTTACAGATAGTCCTCAATATACAACCATAACGGAGCCTGCTCATTATGGTCATATGCTATGATGGTTGTGAAAAAAAACATGATTTATGATTGATTTATTTTTTTGGTGGCAGTTGTAAATGTCAAAGCCCGGCCGTCCTAAGTGTAAACCCATTATTCACCATGGGTGCAGTTTTGCTAAAAACCAGAAGGCTGGAAAACCATCAGATGCAATCATGTCACTGTGGGACACTGCAAAACGTCCATAAATGTGGCCATATTGTCCAACACCCAAAGCGTGATCACACGATTGCAGTTCGGGTGAATGTCAGAACTGTAATGCTTCTGTAGTGGCTGTATCTTCAGAGTGAATTTGACCAAGCAGACAGTCTACCAAACACACCTTTTGAAACAGATACAGCTATTTTAAAGGCGCCCATTTCACTCCTAATCCCCAGTTGTGGGTTGTATGTTTGGAACACAGTCCATAATTTGCTGCAGAAAGCTCATGCTGTTGACCTCAAGACACTAGAACCTCTAAATTAGGTTCTGTAGGAGGTCTTGGACACACATGGGTCCTTCTAACAATGCAGAGGATGATTCCCAGCAGTCTGTCCATGGACCACGTTGGCTGGAGCTATCAGAAATTGGTAGGCACTCCACAAGTTAAGATCAATTCATATAAATCATTGCTGTCCAGCTTCCTAGATGCTTGCAGCTGAGAATCATATATATTAAGTAAGTCAAATTGTAGATGCATTCAGCTGTTTGCACAGCTATGTCTCTTTGGTGATGGTGATAGAAGGAGTCATTTAGTTATAATTCTGGAGATGACTTACTTAACCACGGGTGTCAAACTTGATCGCATCACATGATGTATCACGGTGGGTTTTTTTTGCCTTTGCAGGCCTGGGAGTGTAGCCTGCGCTAGTGGTGGGATTCAAATTTTTTTACCACCGGTTCTGTGGGCATGGCTTGGTGGGCTTGGTGTGTCATGGTGGGCAGGGCAGGGCAAGGATACTGCAAAATCCCATTCCCTCCCCACCCCACTAACCTGCTTTCCAGCTCTGTTCTCCTGTGCAGGGCAACAAAATCATCTGGGACTCCGGAGGCAGAGAATAGATGGGGGCGGGCCCAGTCAGAGGCGGTATTTGCTGGTTCTCCGAACTACTCAGAATTTCCGCTACCAGTTCTCCAGAACTGGACAGAACCTGCTGAATACCCACCTCTGACCTGTGTATGACTCATCCAGCCTGCGGGCCGCCAGTTTGACACCCCTGCAGTAGACTCTTGTAAAATGGTATGTTTGATTAAGCCAGGCTTGTGAGCCCAAATCAGAACAGAGAAACATTGCCTCTGTAAGGAACAGTCTGTGAATAATCTGATTTCCTGCCCAGATTCAGATAGCGGGATCCCCCACGGCCACTTGGGATACGTATTGTCAAAAACGTACACGCCCACAGATGACAACTACGGGTGCTTGGCGGGCAATATTCCATCCCTTGAATTGATGGCCCTCTATGTAGCGGCTGCCATGCATGACTATGATCACCCAGGGAGAACCAATGCCTTCTTGGTGGCAACTAGCGCTCCTCAGGTAAGTGGGCTGGGATTACAGGAACACCTTGCTTATACAGCTAAGAATAAGAAAGAACCTTGTAGCACTTTTTTCAGGCTACCAAATTTTATTCTAGGGCAGTGGTCTCCAAACTTGGCAACTTTAAGAGTTGCTGGACTTCAACTCCCAGAATTGAAGTCCACAACTCTTAAAGTAGCCATGTTTGGATGGGGAATTCTGGGAGTTGAAGTCCACAACTCTTAAAGTTGCCATGTTTGGATGGGGATTCTGGGAGTTGAAGTCCACAACTCTTAAAGTTGCCATGTTTGGATGGGGAATTCTGGGAGTTGAAGTCTACAACTCTTAATATTGCCCAATTTGGAGATCCCTAGAGCATAAGGTTTTGTGAGCCGCTCTCTTCATCAGGTGTGTGGAACAACTAAAACTGTTATTTGTAATTAGTAATTTGGAAAATTTGATGGAGTTCACCGATCATATTCAGGTAGTCCTTGCTTAACGACTACTTACTCAGCAGGTATTTGTAGTTACAATGGTGCTGAATGGGTGAGACCTGACCAGTCCTCATAGTTGAGGCTGTCCCTGAGGTCAAATGGTTGCAATTTGGCCCACAATAATGACATCACAGCATACTGCGGCCATGTGATTACCATTTGCAAACTTCACTGCTGGTTTCCAACAAACAAAGACAAGTAGGAAGCTGGTAGGAGGTCTCAAATGGTTACCACATCCTTGCTTTAATAACCATGTGGAATTCACTTAATATTGGCAGCTGGAACTAAGTGGCAGGATCACATGACAATAACATTAGTAAAGTATGGATTACCTGTACGTAACTCTCCATGAGCTTAGTAAAGCCATCTGCTGCTTTTCCTGGGACTAGATTCTCTGCCCATTTTGTGGACAGAGAAATTGAGTGGTGATTTCTCTAGAGGAAATAAATGCTCTAACAATTTTTTAGAGGCAGGTTCCCTCCACAGTTGCACGGTGGGAGGAGGCTATGTGTATGTTTGCTTAGATCAGGGAAGTCCAACCTTGGCAACTTTTAAGACTTGTGTATTTCAACTCCTAGAATTCCCCAGCCAGCATTGGAATGCTGGGAGTTGAGGTCCACAGGTCTTCAAAATGCCAAGGTTGGACATCCCTGGTTTAGATATTCATATACCAAACATTCTACTAGTTATACAACTTAATTATTTATACGACATATAAAGCATTTAAAATTCTAGAACAAAATCTGATGCTCTCCTTTGGGATTTAATAGCAATGTGGGAAGCCAGAGATTTTCAGATCTCTAGGGACATGATTGTTCAGTAAAAGATAGGATATTCACATGCACAGCATTGGCCTCATCATTAAATAAGTACACAATGACTATTGTTCACTCTTGAGAGTTTGGACAACATTCTGTTCTGGTTTTTTTTTTTTTAATAAGTTTTAAAGCAAATTCCCTTTCATGCAAATGTGGTTAATTTTGGGAATGCATATCATTTATTTAGGTTTCAGCAGACCTGCCATCTCTCAGAACTTGTGGAAATAAACGTTCTCTCCATCTCTCTTTGTATATAGGCTGTTCTATATAATGACCGTTCCGTTCTGGAGAACCATCATGCGGCGGCTGCATGGAATCTTTTCATGTCCAGGCCAGAATATAATTTTTTAATCCATCTTGATCATGTGGAGTTCAAGCATTTCCGCTTCCTTGTCATCGAGGCCATTTTGGCCACTGATCTGAAGAAGCACTTTGATTTTGTAGCTAAATTCAATGCCAAGGTAAACATGATCCCTGTGTCTTATTAAGGTTCTTTATATAAGAGCCTAGAAAATCAGCGAAGGGATAAACATGGAATAAATGGAAGGGCTTAATCATGCAATGTTGCAAGAATAGCAATCTGGAACCAAGCTACTCACACTAGTAAAGAAAGAGTGTGGAGAAGAGTAACAAAGAGGGTTAGCAGCTTAAAAACTAAACCGTACGAAGAACAGCTAAAATGATTTGGTATGTTTAGCCTAAAAGAAAGGAAGGATATGCTATTTGTTTGTTTCTTTGCTTGTTTTTCCCAAAAGTGTTTTTTTCAAAAGGCAACTGGACTGTTTTTTCTTGAAAAGAGTCCAGTTGCCTTTTGAAAAAGCACTTTTGAGACAATTGTAACCTGGATGACTGAGAATCTCCATAGACATATTTGTTGGTTTGTTTTTAAATTAAAAAACCACCCACTTGAGTGAGCTCCAGAACCACTGAACTAGTAACACAACAGATCAAATTGGATTGCAAGTAGATGCAGAAGTTTATAAAATTTAGGTCTGTTTCGCAATGGGGAAAGTTATGATTGCTGAGATATATTTGCCAGTATACAACTAAGGGGGTAATAGTATGTGTTTTTGTTTTTGTTTTGTCTTCTCATCCAAGAAGCTTTTTCAGTTCTCAGTTCTGAAGAAGCTTCTTGGATGAGAAGCGAAACATCTTCAAGGAAAAACAAAGGAAGTCCAGTTGCTTCTTGAAAAAGCAGCTTTGGGACATAGAAGGAAAAGTTACCTAGTGGAGGGAAGAATAAGGATGAGAAAGTCAGTCAAATCCAAATTAGTGTGGTGGGCAGATGTTAGGGCTTCCCTGAAGCTAGCCTTTCTCCAGCAGACACCCCCCCCCCCACCTCCCCGGTAGATGAAGTGTTCTTCCTTCCACCAAGTCTTATCAGAAAGGAGCTGCAACCAAGAAGATTACAGATCAAAGAACAATGTTATCAAGTGCAAGACTATCATATTCCATAAAGAATCTGAAGAAGGGTGATTCAGATAACACAATGAGAGAATAACAGAATTGGAAGTGACTTTAGAGGTCATCTAGTCCAACCTCCTGCTGAAGCAAGAGACACTATACCAGGGGTGTCAAACTCAAGGCCCACGGGCCGGGGTGCTTAAATCTGGCATGTAGATCTGGCCGGCCTGGAAATATCAAAGGACTGGCCCGCTGTGCCTCTGCTGGCCAAAATGGGGCACATGTGCCCCCCCGTGGCCCATTTTTAGGTTCCCTATCTTCCAGCAGCACTCTGCCAGCCAAAAACGGGCCCGTCTCCCCCACCCCACCCCCGGCCACCTGGCCCTCAGAGGAGAACTACAATGCTGATTCGGCCCTCGAAGAAATCCAGTTTGACACCCCTATTTTGGACAAATAGCTGCCCAGTCTCTTCTTAAAAATCTCCAGTGATGGAGCACCCACAACAGAACCAAAGCAGAATCAGATCTGATTAGTACATGTATGGGAGGAAGACCAGAAATTGCTAGGGCTAGAAGCAAGACAGAGAAGTTTAAAAAGAAAAGGACGGTAGTAATAAAGCAGTATAGTGGTACACCGAGGGAATGCATAATACATCCAAATAATAATCCCTACACAGGAAAGGGTTCTTGCACAATATACATCATGTTCACCTTTGGAATTGCATTATATGTTTTGTCACAACAAAGTAATACGTTACCTGCCAGGTGAATGACGATGCAGGCATTGATTGGACAAACGAGAACGACCGATTATTGGTTTGTCAGATGTGCATCAAACTGGCCGATATCAATGGTCCAGCCAAGTACAAAGATTTACATCTAAAGTGGACAGAGGGCATCGTGAATGAATTTTATGAACAGGTGAGAAGATACAATTGCTGTGAACAACTTTTTTTTTAAAAAATAATTATGAATTATGAATAATGCCTATCACTTTAGTCTTTAGTTTATTTTCCAATGGAAGGGACTTTGCTTTGGACAATTCACAATAACAAATTATTTCCATAAACCATGGGAAACCAGTTCCTCATAATCCATTCTTCTAAATAATCAAATGTGTTACGTCCGTGTTTCAAAACTTTAAAATGCAAAAAAAATAAAGAACAACCCCAAAACAATACCCACCCAAAACAAAACCCACACCTAAGCATGACTTAGATGTCTTTTTAAAAAAACCTCATCCATTATGTACCTTGATCATATAGTGGATTTGTTGCTCTGGTTAATGTCTCTTTTCTTTTTTAGGCTGGTTTCTTTCCTTGTAATCAAACGTAGTTCCCTGAACAACCTTCCAATGGTTTACAGTTCCATTTTTAAGAAATATTTAAGGCTACACAAGAGAGCCAGTTGTTCACACAACCCTTCTAAACTAGTTCTTGAAATAACCCATTTTCAGTGTTCATACAATACTTTGAACTATACGCTGGACAATGAGATGGAAAAAAACAAAACAGCTGTGCTCAGATTATCACACACAGCCCAATTCCTGGAACAATCTGCTTCCTGGATCCATGTAACATACTGAACCATAAGCTGTTTTAACAAGTTTGCAGAACGTACTAAAACACAGACATAAAAGCACCCCTAAGGTTAAAACTAATGGAGTTTTAATATGTCATTTGAATACAGATGCTCGGTCTTGTAGCAGTTTAAACATGCATATAGCAATAGCACTTAGACTTATATACCGCTTTATAGTGCTTTACAGCCCTTTCTAAGCGGTTTACAGAGTCAGCGTATGGCCCCCAACAATCCGGGTCCTCATTTTACCCACCTCGGAAGGATGGAAGGCTGAGTCAACCTGGAGCCTGGGGGGATTTGAACTGCCAAACTGTAGGCAGCTGGCTGCCGAAGTAGCTTGCGGTACTGCGCTCTAACCACTCTTAACAATAATCTTTCTCAATCTGGCTCCTGCCAGGCCTTCTGGGATTCCAACCCCCAAGAATTCCCAGCCAGCATTCCTGAATTTTGGAAATCTGGGAATATCCAACATAACACGCCTGAGGGTTGAGAAAGGGTGGCTTAGCCCCATCAGGGAACTGGAAATCAGCCCAATTGCCTTGGATTAATACGGTGCCTCCTGTTTCCCAAGGGTGATGAAGAAGCCAGCTTAGGTCTCCCCATCAGCCCTTTCATGGACCGCTCTGCTCCGCAGTTAGCAAAACTCCAAGAATCCTTCATCACTCACATTGTGGGACCCCTGTGTAACTCCTATGACTCAGCAGGACTGATGCCAGGTAAATGGATTGAGGACAACGATGAGTCAGGAGATACAGATGAACACGAAGAGGATTCCCTAGACACGGACCTCTGTGACAGCCACGAAGCAAGTACGTTGGTCCTAGGTTTTCATTTCATTTGCCTCTGGCCCGCTGGTTTCCCAATAAAAATGCTGCATGTCCACCAGTGGTGGGATTCAATTTTTTTTTTTACTACTGATTCTGTGGGCATGTCTTGGTGATTGTGGCATGGCTTAGTGGGCGTGGCTTGGTGGGCGTGGCAGGGGAAGGACACTGTAAAATCCCCATTCCCTTCCCCACTCCTGGGGAAGGTTATTGCAAAATCCCCATTCCTTCCCTACCCTACTAACCTGCTTTCCAGCTCCGTTCTCCTGTGCAGGGCAACCAAAGAAGACCCAGCCAATCAGTTGGGACTCAGGAGGCAGAGAATAGATGGGGGCAGGGCCAATCAGAGATGGTTTTTGCCAGTTCTCTGAACTACTCAAAATTTCCGCTACCGATTTCCCCAGAACTGGTCAGAACCTGCTGAATACCACCTGTCATTTCGCAAAAAGTTACTCTGAGTCAGATTTATGGTTTGTGGCAAGGAGACCAACAAGATAATCGATGTAAAGCAACCTGGCAACATCATCAGTGCTAATCTACTACCATAGCACTGATGATGTTACCTAGTTGGGTAATGAAACGTCTGCAAGAAAACAACCAAGCTCAGAGAGCACTGAAGACCCCTCATCTGGATTTCTTGGAAGTATGTTATGTGGGGTTTTGGGTTGTTCTTATGATTATCCACATTGTCTGATCTGAGACACGATATCAAGTTGTAAACCACAAATGGGCAACTACATGTCTAGATGCTGCTCTGCTCCGAGTGTCATACAAGTTATTACAAAAGACTTTTGGTAGCAAACAATTGAAAACTCCAGCAAAAGTGGGAAAGAGGGAGAGAAATAGTGATGGATGGAGAGAGGGAAATCTTGGGGACTGTCAGGAAAGACATCTCTAGAATGTCAGAAAGGAGCTTGCGCCTTACTTTTAAGTCGGTCCTGCCCATCGTGGCATAGAATGAAGCCGTCAAAAGTATTTGCTTGTGGGAATGTGAATAAATGGATAGGTCTTGTTGTAGACCAGACAGCTTTCTCCAATGTCTCCATGCATTGCTTCCTTTACAACCAATTCAGCTCTTAGTTACAGTGAAGTGGCCAATTTAGGTAGTAGGTTTGGGCCACCCTTAAAGGTCAGATTTTTTTTTAATGAATCGTTTTTTTTTTAATGAAAAATTTGGCATCTCCACAAGGCCTGTTCCATCATTAAGTAACAAGGTGTTGGCCTCAACTATTTGAACATTCTTCACAAACAACAAATTATGGATTGGTTCATTTAAAGTTACCGGTTTTGCCAAGGAGAAGCACTTTCCTGTCTTTGGTGTGAAAATAGCTTCACCGGTTGAAGAGAGATATACCTATCATCTTTAACCAATAGTTAATAATAATAATAATAGCAACAATAGTAATGATGATACCACAAAGAGGGAGGGGTTTAGCTTATTTTCCAAAGCACCGGAAGGCAGGACAAGAAACATTGGATGTAAACTAATCAAGGAGAGAAGCAACCTGGAATTGAGTAGAAACTTTCTCACAGCGAGGACAATTAACCAGTGGAACAGCTGGCCTCCAGAAGTTGTGGGTGCTTCATGAATGGAGGTTTTTAAGAAAAGACTAGACAGTCATTTATCTGAAATAAAATAGGGCCCCCTGCTTGATCAGGGAGTTGGACTAGAAGACCTCTAAGGTCCCTCCCAGTTCTATTCTGATTGACTGATTGAATTAACGGGGAATTTATGGAGAATAGTCTGTTGAGGCCAGTCATTCCCAGGGGACCACGCTAGAAAACTCAGGCCATGTATATCAGTATTACTTTGATTGTAAAGCAGAATCCTGCAAGTCGGAATGCACATTCCCTCCTCCCTCTCTTTTTCCTCATGTGATTTGGGAGGTGGGCTCGTCTGAGGTATTTATCCACATTACATTTTTGCCCTTGGCTCAGACCATTTTCCTGGGATGATTTCATTGGTAGAGGCTCTCTTTCCTGTCCCGCAAGGGTTAGGGTTCACTCTCTCTGACCTCTACCTAGAACAGTTTTATGTCCAAAGATTTCCACAGCATGACAGAAATTTATATATTTGCCGCCCAATCTAGCTTTGAAGTGACTCTAGGCAGCTTTCCTTGCTGAGTGTGGAGTTAATCTTCCCACTACTCTGGATAGGACACGAGCATGAACCAAACAAATTAAACTCCTCGGGAGCCAAACCACTACTTTGATCACACACGGTAGTATCCTGGCTAACATAACATCACAATTTATGAAATAAATAAAAATGATGGGTGACTTCCAACAATACCCAGTCCCATTTCGACACATGTGCTTACTCAGTCCTTCTGCATGTTCTGTAACTTTGATTGAGTGACACGCAAGTCAAAGCAGCATTCGTTCATTCAAAATTATACTTCAAAAAATCTGAATTGTTGGGGCAAAAATATCTACGTGGTTCAAATTCAGTCTTCCCAAGATCAAGCTTCGAGGTAAGAAATAGTGAGTTGTGTGCAATTCCTCGGTTTCTCCGTCCAGGCACTTCAATCTGTCTACATTAAAGACGACAATCACAAACCTATTTAGAATTACAGATTCAGGTGACCTTGGATGGGTAAAGTATTACTCACCAAAGGACAACTCTAGCAAGTCACAGTAGAAAGCATGTCGGCAAACACCCCCAAGAAATAATAAGAAAATGGAATATTCTTCCTGGGAGATAGGACATGTAGCACATGTCCATTTTTCACGGTCCTTGCATTTCCAGAATCTCTCATCACATGATATGAACCAAAGGCAACAAATGGCGTTACAGTAACTCACAACGAGTATGTGTGAAATGATATCCAGCAAAATGTTTTGTTAGAATAGAATTCTTTATTGGCCACATGTGATTGGACACACAAGGAATTTGTCTTTGGTGCATATGCTCTCAGTGTACATAAAAAATAAAATACATTCCTCAAAAATCATAAGATACAACACTTAGTCATAGGTTACTAATAAGCAATCAAATCATACTAGGAAACAAATAAAACAATATAAATTGTAAGGATACAAGCAACACCCTTATAGTCATAAGTGGGAAGAGACAGGTACTAGGAAGGATGAGAAGAGCAATAGTAACACAGTCTTAGTAAATAATTTGACTGTATTGTGGGAATTAGTTGTTTAGCAGAGTGATGGCATTCAGGAAAAAAACTGCTTGTGTCTAGTTGTTCTGGTGTGCAGTGTCCTATAGCAAGGGTCTCCAACCTTGGCAACTTTAAGACTTGTGGACTTCAGCTCCCAGAATTCTTCAACCAACTGGCTGAGGCATTCTGGAAGTTGAAGTCCACAAGTCTTAAAGTTGCCAAGTTTGGAGACCCCTGCCCTATAGTATCATTTTGAGGATAGAAGTTGAAACAATTTATGTCTAGGATGTAAGAGGTCTGGAGATATTTTCACAGCCCTCTTTTTGACTCATGCAGTATACAGGTCCTCAATGTATACGGCACAATTGTTGTTGTTTTAACCATTCAGTCATGTCCAATTTTGGGTAACATTATAGGCAAATGGTCTCTATGCTATTTTGTCAAGCACAGCTTTCAACTGATGGATGTTCAACATTATATCAGAGTTTGATGTTATCAAGCCAACATGTTCTTGGTTTGCCCCTTCTCCCTTGTCCATTAGCCATTCCTAACATCATTGCCAACCAAATGTGGGATGTGATTAACACCCTTCTGGCCTCTCTGAAGCCCTGCAAAGTATGGGGGGGGCTATCTCCCAGGAAACCAGAGAGGGTATGTTTTATTATGGAAGGCTGGTTCAGAATTGAAGTTCCTTCTGATTAAACCTGGAGGCTTCCTACGGGGAACGGAAAGTTTTCTAAGGAAGGATTGAACTGGATTTGGGCTGTCCCACAGTGAAAAGCTCTTTGTTTGAAGTTGAAAAACTTGAAGGACTCAAGAGTTTGGCTCCCAAAGTGCTAATCTAAGCACACATTTCTTCGACACAAAACATTCCTTGGTAATATTTCCTCCCTAATGGTTTTGTTTCCTTTTATTCAAACTTCTGGGGAAAAAAAAAAAAGTTCATCATGCAAGTTAGTAAAGACAGGAATGCAGATCCAGAGAGCGGTAGAATCTGGCATATTCACAGCACCAGAATGTAAACCTTTTGAAGTCGTAGCTTAATCAGCTGAAGCTTTAGTTTCTGGTTAACTTAATTCATTTAATTGGTTGGACTAGATCAGGGGTGTCAAACTCAAGGATCTGGCCCGCAGGGTGCTTAGATCTGGCCCGCATGGCGGACCTAGAAACAGCAAAGGACCAGCCCGCAGTGCCTCTGCCAGCTAAAATGGAGCTTGGAAGCGCCGCGTGCAGCCCTCCCAAGCTCCATTTTCACTGGCAGAGCGTTGCAGGAGGCCGAAAACCAAGTTTGGGAGCCCGTTTTTGCTGGCTGAACACTCAGGCCACCACAGGCATCCCCACCACGAGTGACGTCGGGCTGGCCATGCCCACTTTGGTCACACCAACCCCTCCCCTCCCCCCCCAAGGTCAATATAACCCTGATGAAGTCCTCAGTGAAATCAAGTTTGACACCCTCAGACTAGATGATCCTTGCATTTGTTTCCTCAACGCCTTAGTTCCATGTTATTGTATTTGACTGATAAGTATTGGTCAGTTGGTAAGATTGGCAAGAGATTTATAGGCTGGGCATCAAGGGCAAAGCAAGGTCAAACATGGGACAATAAATCATGTCATGACCTCATCACCCAAAAGTTAGATACAGGAACGGGAAAGATGTGTATTCGTTGAAACTGGTTGTTTCATGCCAGACATACAAATTGCTGCTGGACTTTTTTTTTTCACAATTCATTTTGTGGTGGAAGGTAGACTGGAGTCCCAGGAGGGAGGGGCTGTTTCACAGGGGGCAAAGAGGCAGCAGAGCTTGGATAGTCTGGTAGCTAGGAAGAGGGTTAAGACAGTCCCTCCCTAGCAATCCAGAGTATATCTGTAATTA